CGAGATATGTCTTAGGCTGCGTAGGACCTTATGTCCACTCTAAAAAAAACAAGGATGTAAATTATGGCTTGTGAGGGAAGTGAACTTTCAGCCTATCAATGTGATAAGATCTGAAATCCACATTGCACTATCATGCTGAGGTGTGAGCAGTGGTCATTCATAGATCCTGATGACAGGACTGCTATGTTTGTCATCATCCGTTTGATTGTTTGTTGTAGGTTGGCAAATTCAACTGCACGCAGCACCTGGATGTGTGCGGGGAATTGTACCTGGGCACCAACCTGCCAAAGGTGGCGCTGTTCAGGTCAGGAGGCGCCCATGAATTCCACCATGGTATGTTCACATCAAATGAAATAAACAGTTAAGGTTCAATGCAAAGCAAGGTTGTGGAAATTTTTATTGAAGTTCAGTCAGATTGCCAAAAAGGTTTATCCAACTAATAGGTTGATTGCCTCTATGCACATCTTGCCATCTTTTGTTTGAATGTTAGATTCATAAAAATTCATTCAGAAATGAGAGCATTGTGCTGTAATTTTCCCATTAGTCTTATTGCTAGAGGTGAGTGGAGAAGGTAAGGCCCAGTGTGTTCTCAATAATACTGTGATTTTCTCTGTTGTCTCAATTTCCTGTGGGGGAGGGATGAGTTAAACACCATTTTTATGGGGAAGATGGGCTCCTGCACGGTCCCCATCCCCTGGTTACACCACTGGAACTCCCACAGTGTGTCTCACATGTCATACGTCATCTACTCGCAAATATTGAGGGTAATCAATCAGCGTTTTTACAAAAGTCGCATTAAAGGCAGGATTTTATTACTGGGTCATTCCATGGGGTTGGGACACAATTTGTGACGGTGTTCTTGTTACAATGGGTAACTTTTACCGCCTGTCATGACCTGTAGAGTAGGTCACTTACTCTGGAAAAGTAACACCCACCTCTGTATTCAACCATGCAAGATGTATAACAATGTCAGTGTGGAATCCACACGCAGGGAAATAGCTGTTCATTTTTACGGAACCCACGTAACAATTGACAACGTCAAAAATTGTGCCCCAACTTCATGGAATGACCCTACTAAGAATTTTTGGACTGAATTGTGATTTGTTGTTTCCACTCAGTGTTTTGGTTCCTTTAATAATTATTGAACCCCATGTCCTCACTTGTTGTAGTCCTCAGATCTTCAGCACGGCCTGAATGTGTCCTTTGTGCCCACAGGTCGTCTGTTTGCCCAGGATATTGCAGCCTTTGCTAGACAGAGCATAGACTCTCGACTGCACATGCTTGGCCCTGAGAGTTTCCCTGATCCTGTCACTGGCGGAAAGGAGCTGTGGTTTGTCGATTTCTTTTCTCCAGTAAGTTAGCAAATTGTCAATTCTTTTGCCAAGTGGGAGTTTTTTTAATTGAATGTGGTTGTATTTCTTTTGGCGGAATCTTGTAAAAGCCTGACAGAGTGAAACATTTTCTAGAAAATTAGAATTTGGTTAGTTGAAAAAGACATAGTTGCCATTGAGACTGTCATTTTAATCTTGCAAAACTGGTCCCCTTAAGGAACACAGGCAACACACTCTCTATTGGGCTGACCCTTTTTTTGGAAATTTCAAATCGTAAATTGTGAGAAAATATGACTTTCTTACTGATAAGCCAGTTGTGCAACTTTGAATCTACCATGTCCTGTGTCATGTGTTAAAACATTCACAGATTCCCCTTATATTTTCCCTCAAAACTCAAAACCCTGCCCTTTTTTGACAACACTAACCCTACAGTTATTGAGCATGATGTCACAGTCATCTACCAGGGTGAATTCAAAAGTTAAAATGTAGGTCTCCCTTCTGTTACAGGAACGGGGTCCCCAAATTTGCAATCCCCGATGCCATGCCGTTTTACACTTCAGGCAAATTCCAAAATGAAGAAAATTTGACATCTTTTGAAACAGTTTTGAAATTTGCTTGAGTTCGCTCTGTAACAAACACAGCGTGTGGTCCTACCTGACTATGCACACTCAGATGTTGGGAATTTGATGTCATGTATTTGAGCTGATGTCACAAAACTGCATTGTGTTCACTTTTATGTTAAGGTCAGATCTAAATGTCGTCTGATTTTATTTCCTGGTTTCTGCCATTCATTAGACTGAAATCGCCCTTTTTTTCTTTGATTTTATGAACAGCATTGTCCACCATGCAGACAGATGCTACCTCAGTTGCGCAAGGCAGCCACTAGGAGAACAGACATTCACTTTGGCACGGTAGACTGCACCATCCACAACGCACTGTGTAACCAACACAACGTCCGGTCCTACCCGACTACCATCATGTACAATGACAGCAAACCACACATGAACACAGGGTACAAGACAGCAGAGGAGATTGTGGATTTCATTGAGGTAATACATTGCCTGTCTTGAAGAAAGGCTACTCTAATCTTGGATTGATCCCAAATTCATTTCACTCATGGTTGATCAGATTTGCATATGCTTATAGTATGCAGTAGGCATTAAAGCCCCCAATGCGTGAACTGTGCTTTTGTGTATACGTTAATACCAATAAGCCATTTGCGAGTTAAATTTGAATAAAATCTGGTACACTGAGTTCTTTGCATTCACGTGAACATAACAACTTGAATTCTCCATGCTAAAACCACTGTTGCTATACCTGGTGATTTGGGGCAAGCTTTTGCTTAGTTACATAAGAGACACCTTGCAACAATACACTATTCCCAATGGATAAGAACGGCACAAAGGAACCAGTCCATTCCAGAGATGATGGTCACTATGCAAAAGCTTGCCCCGAATCACGAGGTATAGCAACAGTGTCTTTAGTCTGGGGAATTTAATTGTTATGTTTCTGTGCAATCAGATAACACAGTGTACCAGATTTTATTCAAATTTAACTCGCAATTGGCTTATTACTTATGTATGAATATTTCTAGTAAGGCCCCTTAAAAAGTCTTCCATCTCTGGTCAGCGCTTGCGTCGATTTCAAGCATGTGTGTCAATCTTTGTTTTTCTGTGAAAGCTGCAACAGCACCCTCTATTGCTGCACTGCCTCCAGATTTTTACGGGCATGTCGATTTTGTACCCCGGGCAATAGATCCCAATGACATTGATGTTGAGCAATGATAGCAGGCTATGGATACGAAGTTGTTTGTTGTCAGCTTATAATCATGATGAAGCTGGTCTAGTCCCCTGACTCAGCAACGTTTGTCTGCAATGGTCTGTACAATCCAACCCTGCAGGAAGAAAGAACAAAAACAAACAAAAGCCACATCACCGCATAAATTCCAGAACATCAGTCAGACCAGAGGCAAACAAATTTTTTGGGGGGCCTAATACATGCACAGTATTGAAATCTGTTTTTCTTTCTGTGACAAGATATGTCGTGTTACTGCAAGATACCCTTTGTAAGTAAAACATATTTATTTGCACTGAGGTTGGACAAGTGAATTAAATTCATGTAATGCATTCTCTGATATTCTATTTGTTTTGTCTGGATTTCAGGATATCTTGCATCCAACGATGGTCAGTCTGGACCCAACCAGCTTCCGGAATCTCGTCATAAACCGGGACCAGAAGGACATGTGGTTAGTGGACTTCTATGCGCCGTGGTGTGGACCCTGCCAAGCACTGTTGCCTGAGTGGCGGAAACTAGCCAAGGTACATGCTGCTTAGCAGCCATTTTGGTCTGGTACCCTGTATCCACCACATAGAAAACATATATTCCAGTTAATACTATGTGTTTGAAGTTGTCTTGGTCTTGTGTTTGGAAGCCATAACATTGACAGAGTGTCTACTTAAAAGTGTTGTCAGGAATTATCAGTTGGAATTTTCCTCGTAAGGTGTGCTTCTGTTATGAGAGAAACAAAAATGGGATTTGATTCCAAAGAATTTCTGGTCAAATAAATGACAATTTTTCTGGGTACAAAGCGTAATAACTGTTTTCTCCCTTTTGGATTAATTTAGAAATTGAACGGCACAGCTGGAGTGGGCACGATCGATTGTGTGACCCATGGGGATCTGTGTAATCAACAAGGCATTCGTAGCTACCCTACTATCCGGGCTTTCCCATTCGGACGAACTGGAAACACAGGAAGAAGGTAGCTTATCCCCCTACTTCTGGAGAAATTGCCGGTTCACCTCTTACAAAAGGGTTTTGTTGAATGCAAAATTGGATTGGTGCTACCCTCTGGGTCCATTGTGTGTGTCAAAGGACCAGCCTGGCATTCCTTAGAGTGTGTTGCTATATTGTTGAACTTCGGTGTAGTAGTATTACCTCGGCAAAGTACAGGGCTGTTTACTGAGTGAATACTGAAGTAATGTAAAGGATGTTGGAGAGCAAAGGCCAAAACTTTTAAAAGCTTTTGGTCATTACCTAAAAGAAACCAACTGAATTGTTATCCAGTATCTAACTTTGTTTGAAAGGAGATCTGGTACCAAACCGTCCGTAGCATTGCATCACTCTGTAGAGAACCTGGAACTCTGTCCACAAGCTCAGACATTGGTCATAATTGACTGTGTCTTTTTCCTTTTGTTTTCTTTTCTGGGTTTTTTCTGGCAGTGATTACAATGGTTGGTTCCGGGATTCCAACTCCATCTTCTTCTGGGCTCACAACTTCCTGCCTTCCATTGTAGAAACCATCAGCCGGAGCAACTTCCGGGATAAAGTCCTCCGCAGCACAGATCCCTGGGTGATCGATTTTCACATGCCACACTGCATGCCTTGTCAGCAGTACCAGCCGGAGTTTGAGCAAGTGGCCAGGGTTGGTAGTCTCTCTTAAGGTCATTTTCGTACACCAGGCAATATTTAATATAGGGGACTGAATTCATAGTGCAGCTAAGCATACACAGTTGCTCTGACATGTTTGTTTACAGAGATGCGTCCATTAACACAGCAGAGAGCTAGCCAAATTAAGAGCTTTAGTGAGGAATGTACATGTATGGTGCAAATTCTACGTGTCTGATTTTTGTCAGAATGGAAACAAACCTGTGTCGTTGTAGGTAATGGAATTTTAGATCTGGTATACATCTCTCATACTCCCCATTGAAAGGGTTCTTGTGCAAAGCCCATTGCGATCTAAGCTCAGTCTTCCTTCAAGTATTTGTGGAATGCATTTGTAGACGTTTTNTATCCCGATGTTTGTCACAATTTTTGTGAACTTTTATTCTTGCAGGGTGTTGAAGGCTATGTACGTGCTGGCAAGGTAGACTGCACTCAAAACCAGAATATATGTCAACAGGCCAGTGTTAATTACTTCCCCACTGTACGAATTTATAGAGGCACGCACAAGGTTGGCCATTCCCAGGTAGGTCATTAGTATTTTGAATTTTGTTGTATTTTGTACAGCCTCAAAAGATCCTCAGTGTTGTTGGGTTTTTGGAAGGCAGTAGTGCATCTCCACAATTTCCTCTAGCTGTGAGGAGGGTGCTATGTTATGCATGACATCTGCTGTTTAACGGGCTGTTAACTTGCGTGAATATGTTGGAGAATTTCAGGGAAAGTAACATGGGAGAAAAGAAATTAAGTGCAAGGGATTTCCATCCATCAGTTGAACATCCAATTTTCAGGGAAACTTGATTCAAAAGTGAAAACTGCTGTTGTGGAAATGTAGATGCAATAAATTGAATACCCAAGTGAGGATTTAACCCTAACGGTCCTCAATCCCTGAACTATTGGGCGTTGCAACAGAGATAAATATCGTTTCTTCATGCCGATTGTTTCTTGTTCTTGATGGAAAGTTTCAATTCGAGCAATGACCTGTATTATTTCTGTTACGTTAGTCTGTCAGTGTACGTGTATCTACTGATTTGTTCTCAATTTTCACCCTTTCTAGAGGATGGCCAAACCCTTTGGAATTAAGACTTTTAACCATGTTTTCATGGGTAGAATGTCTTTACTAGATAATTCAGGATACAATTGTTTTATGTCTTTCTCACAGAATTGGTATGGTGAACAAGTGGATAAAACTCCAAGCAGTTTAATAGCGCTTCTTCAGAAAAGATTTACGCAGAAGTTAAGCAGTGTAAGTAGCTGAAGCGGTCAACTTCTCTGACTCAATTATCTTGATGCTTTACCAAATACATTCTAGCAAACCTAGAATTTCATGAATGCAGCAGAGAACAAATTCTATGAATAATTGTCTGGAATTTTCTAAGTATGGTCCCAAGGATGACATTCTGATACCAGTGAAAAGGCAAGCGGAGATATTGGACTTTTAATTTATTTGGTTCGTGGATTTTGCAGTTTGTATTGATGTCTCCTCCAATATTCACATGCATCATTTTGCTTTCCTTCTATAGAGCAAAAATATCAAGGATGAACTTTGACCTCCCAACCACTGGAAATAGAAGAGCAACTCATCGACTCTTGGATAGTATAGTTTGTCTCGTTTTCTCCTTTTCTAAAGAAAACACCGGGTGCATTCAAAAGCAGCTTCACATTTTATGTGCATTGGTTTCACTCTCTGTTGACCATCGAAGGGATAACCATGTTTACATTGTCGGCAAGTTGGATAACAGGTCTGCTGACACTCCCTCACTGAGCATGAGACTCACTCACTGAGCATCAGACTCACTGAGCATCAGACTCAGTGAGCATGGGGATCACAGCATAAGACTCACTGAGCGTTGGGTGACTGCATGAGACTCACTCACTAAGCATGGGACTCACTAACTGGGCATGAGACTCACTGAGCATGGGGATCACAGCATAAGACTCACTAAGCGTGGGGCTGACTGCATGAGACTCACTCTCTGAGCATGGGACTCACTAACTGGGCATGAGACTCGCTCACTGAGCATGAGACTCACAGAGCATGAGACTCACATACTTGAGAGATTTTCCACATCAGAAAAAAGTAAAAGCTGAAACAATACATTGCCTCATCCTCTCGTTATTCTGTCTTTACAAGCATTGGAAACCTATCCTGCTCTGTGGCCTCATTTGTTGGAAACAAGTAAATTGATTGGCAGTTTTATCACAGTTTCAATTGAATATGTGTTTGTGTATGTGGACTGTGAAGAACTTACCGCCGTATTCTTCTTGTCAGCTGCTTTTACATGAAGTTTTAAGCCACAGTGCACATGTATAGTAATATCAATATTTTAAAATGCTCTAGGAAAATTGGAATTGTTCAGCCCCCAAACCTAATCACTGTTTTGGCAGTGTGTCCCTATTAAACCCTGTGTCTCCCTAATCCCCGTCCTACGTGTAGCAATAACAAGTCTCAATTTCATATTCTTGCGTCATTACTCCTTAAGTTCTAATTGCTTCAATCTGATCAAGTCAATTAATTTAAGAGGAAAGCTGTCAAGATTGCATTTCTTATGAATAAAGTCCATGGAAGTATGTCAAAATTTTGGATCAAGGAAACTTCAGGGAGATTGTTAGTTTTGGAATGAATTCTAGAGGGTAGCAACATTTCCTCCCTCAGGTGCAGATTTTTAATGTTGATGGTAGCCTTCTTGCCACTTTTGTAGCAACAAGTGCAACCGAATTCCGTCTTTCTAGCATGAAATTGCATGATTTTTTAATGCTTTAACATTTCTACTTCACTTTATAAAAGTATTTTTTTTAACTGTTCTTTACTTTATAAAAGCATTTTTTTTACTGTAGCATTGGTATTTTTCTCACCAGATGGCAACTTTGAAACCCTCTCGGTTTTATTAGAAATATTTATTTTTATTTCTTTGTACATTACCTTTCTCAAGTAATCCTTTACAAATAAGCCAAAAAATAAATAGAACCCGACAAATTGATGTTGACAGTACTTCAGGTCTACCCTCCTGTTTTTGTTTTTCAGACAGGCAAAATTGTCTGATACCTATGTTTTTGTACATCTGTTGCATTAGCCACACTTTCACTAATATTGCTTGGTTCCAACTGTCGGATGTGTATTTTGGTATTTGTGGCATTTGTTTTTTCAGTAAATTATTCGCTTTGTGTAACGTTAACATCGGGTGTTCATCAATTTAGTTTAATTCTTGTGATGTTTGTTTGGATGGTAGATAAACTCGGTTAGGAGTTTGTTAAAATGGATGTACTTAATAGGAACAGACCAATTTTATGTTCAATTTGCAAATTTCTTTAATGAATTCATCTATGATGCATCTTCCTAAAATAAACCATGATGGCCTAACAGTCTTAACTATTTTTTTGCACACAGATTTGTCAACATGCGTGCACATTGGTTGAAATTCAGATGTGTTTATATGCCACATTGTTTTATTGCATAGTCTTGTACAGCTTTGAAATGTATTTTATGGCTGGTTTAACCATTCAGTCCTAGGGTTCAATTGATTGACGCATGACATGGACCTTTCATAACTGTAATACTGATAATGGAGATGAGATATTTGACAGATTCTCCTTTGGTTTTGTCAATGTCTAATCGGACATTTTGTTGTTCATCATTGATGTTCTTATAGATGTAAGTTATTTTATTGACAATTTTAGGCAAATACTTAATTTCAAGCATGTTGGGTGTCCTGTGCATTAAAGCCGGTGTAAAAATGACAATAAAAATAATTATTTTCATATGTTAACTTTGAATCATCGGTGTTTTATAATAGGTGTGTGATGTGCATGTACAGTGTATTCAGATTTGGGACATATCGACGACAGCACAGCACAAGTGCATGTTAGAAAATTTTAGTAGCTAACCAAGACGAGATAAAGTCAGGAGAGGGTTGGTTTTGATTATTTGCCAATTGATATTACATTCCTGATTTCCAACTCCGTGTATCAATCATATTCTTGGCACGTTTGATTTGGGACAGAATAGCATGCCCCATCCTGAAAAAGGGTTGCTTATCCAAAAAGGAAAATGTGATCAAGATGTATACAAATGACAGGCTTGGACCTTCACCAGTTAACATCGGATTTCCTTCTCTGAGAAAGCTGTTGGGGGAGGTTTTTTACCCACAAATTCTTCAACCTTGCAATTGTGCTTTGCCCAACCAAACACAACATGTCAATGCCTCAACCACGGAAATGAAAAGAATTCTTGAACGAGCGTACACGTCCTCCATGGAACAAATATAGAAAATTATGTGTTAACACGTCATCCGGTATCAAGTGGTTGATCTGTAACAAATGACGCCACACTTTACATGTATCGACTACATGTACCATTCCCCATGTTGCAAGCAGTTAACCTACAAAATACAAATAGACCGAGTATGCAAATAGTTACTTGGAAGACTTCATTCCCATCCAGACTGGCTGAAGTCAGCTTAAGTGGGCTCCCTCAAAAATTACAACTAATTGACATGGTGGCCAGAAAGTCTGCAGTCTTATCCAGTATTGGATTTTTATCATGCTAGGACGAATCTTGGTACACTTAATGCACTTGATAGCAGTAAGAGCAGGGAATAACATCCCTGGCTCACCAGCAAAAGTGAGGACAAATGCTGAGGGAATAAGAAACAAACCCGGGAATAAAATAAATATTAAAACAGACAAAAGAAAGAACACAAACCCTATTAATTCATAGAACTGAAATATATTTATGTACAGTGTAAATTAATGGCTATTTGTTAATACCCTATTAGTTCAAACAATTTTGCTATCATGATTTTTCAAAGACTGCCATAATTCTGTCTGAACAGGAGCCTGGTGAAACAAACATTCTCCACAAAATCTGATGCAAAAATGAATTGAGTAGTTTGGAAGTACCCACTTCAAAAGTTTAATTGACGAGAACTGAGTTCCTTCAAAATGAAATTATTTTCTTTCTTATCTTTCGGAATAATTGATGGAAAAAAATAAAAGAAACACAATTCATAAAAGAATCTTTCAAATGCTGTATTCATTTCTTTTTTCTACAAGGTTTACAATGCATGCAGTTTGCTGGGGATATCTTGGGGGAACCAGCTTTTCCTGGAAAGTCCAAAGAGCAGAGGAAGTGATCAAGTGATTATTGCCAAACTTTCATTTCAGTATCATTTCAAAAACATAACCGCCATCGTGTGCCCTGCTTGCAGAATTTATGCCACTCTTTCATGTACAAGCAAGTGTACTTTCTGTACTCGAAAATGGTACATGAAAATGGTGAGATGTCTTATTACCATCCATCTACAATAACATCAGGTTTGTCCTTAAAAAAATCTTGATACACTTCTATGTAGATTTGTGCAAAACTTTCACTGGTTGAAACTACTTTTTCATTTGATTAATGCTTCAGCAAGCTTCCATGCTGCCTTTCATGAAAACACTTCCCCCCCCCAACCCCAACCCCTTTTTAAGAAATACACATATTTTTCAACTACTTGCAATCCTTTTCCTTATTGCAAGGAAATAATTTTATTTTCAGGCTTTACACACTGTGACACTCCAAGAAATTACAGAAAAGGAATCCAAATTTGAAAGTGTGAATTCCATCCAAAAATGACGCACCCCTTGTGTCTTACTGAGATACCATTCCGCTTGACAAATTTGGGATGTACTTGTATCTGAAACGGCTGTGAAAGAATCAAAGACAAGCAGTTCTGAGATTTTTAAGCCAAAGAAGTCTGTAGTTTTCGGTCTAACTGTAGCCTCACTGGGTCCACACTCCACAGTTTGGTATTTTTTTAAAATCAAAATCCTTTAAGAGATTTTGGAGCCTAACCAAAGTTTTTTCGGAACCACTAAAATCCCGCATGATAGTCATTTCATTCTCCTTTTCAACCTGTGTGTAGAAATAAATACAGTTTCATCATCACTAGGGAAGCGGCGAGATGTCAGCATTTAGGTCTGATTTTGTTCTTTTTATTAGTCTTGGAGTGTCACAAGCTACTTCAATCTCTGAGGTTCAAGTCGTCCATATCCTCCTCCAGGTCTAGCTCCTGATCAAAGAGGTCTTCGTCGACTTCCACATCCTCAACAAAGAGATTCTCATCGACTGGGACTCCATTGACAGTGGCCGCTGCGGCGGCTGGTTCTTCTTGATCTGACGTCTCGTCAGCAGGAAGGGCAGCCGCTTGGTCGAGTTTGCTGTCTTCATCTAAGAAATGACTCACATAATTAGTGTACCCAATTAGAAGCTTCCTCACTTAGCCTCCACCCCTAATTAGATAAGATTCCTGTTTCCCTATTTTGACAGTGCAGCCCTAACGTTTTTTCTGGGGAACATTTTGGGAAATAAGATACAATGGACTTTTATCAATTGAGAAGGCATGAGTTCTCGCTCAAATCATTTGTGTTGGTCATTGTTTTATCGGAATCTCAGGAATTCTTTACAGACTTCTAGGGGGGATGTGTTAGGTAACAATAGTCTAGAGTGTGTATAGGGATTAGACAGGTAAGGGGGGTACCCCTCTGTCCCATATCTTGCCTGGTATAACTCAAAGACGTATCATCAAGTCTTTTACAAGGAGGTCAAACCTCCAACAATTTTGACTCTAAAGTCTACTCCTGACACATACAACACCGTTAACATAACTCTTACAAAAAGCAAATTCGGTGGGTCTCAATTTTTTGAATTCTTTTGTTTTCTGTCCAAATTTCTCCAGTTACTTTAAAACAAGGCTCTGGTTATACAAGGTAACAGCAATCCCTGAGCAGAGCTTGTCATAATGAGAGTTGACCTTACCTTCTGCTTCTTTCTCGTCTATTCTGGTTCCGGGCAACGAGGCCTCAACAACTGTACTCGTTTCCCCCTCCCTGTTGTGGGTCATTGATACCGTCCCCGAGCCATCTACTTCTGTGGCTGTGATGTTTTCTATCCTGACATCTTTCACAACTGCATCCTGTGGTTTGGGGAGGGAGAAAATAATTGAAATGACCTGCGATTCAAAGAGATTCCATGTGAGTTCCGAGTGTCTTTTTGGATGAAATGATCTTTTTTTGTTGAGGCAGAAGTCTTTGCAATATCTTGAAAGTCTGCTCTAAACCATCATGGTACGGGAGATACAAAATGACGACAGCATGGCCTTGGAAAAAATTACTGCAAATTAACTGCAATATGAATCAAACTCCTTATGCACAGCAGGTGCAAGTCTAAACTCAGCACTGGATAAGGGTGACCCCAAATCCTTTCATTTTCTTTTCCAAGTTCAAGGAAAACTATTTGTAGACCGGACGGCAGAGGAGACAGCTTAATTTAGAAATTTCCTGAGTTTCAGATTTAAATGAATGAGCAACTTTGTTCACTATTTTTATCAATGAAGCAGCAAAATCACAGACCCACTTTTGACCACTACTGCAATCTGCTTTTATACAGAGAAAATTAAATGCATGTTTTTATCTGTCCAAATAATTTCGTACTCTTCAGTGTTGCGTAATTCCCTACACTGAACGATTGAAGGAGCGCGATGCATAGTCTGGGCCCCAGACTGATTTTGCTTATACATTCATAGTTTACATACAGCACACAGACAAACTGTACAAACCAAGCAGCAACAGACAATAGAGGGCCTCATGGATGGACACCACGTTATGTTTGTGGTATGCATTTGGTGGTATGAAACTGTCTTCAGAAAAACGTCAATTTTCAAGCCAAATCATGGGTAAAAATCTAAAAAACTAAGAAACTTTTTTTTTGTAAGTCGTATTTTATTGAGAAAAATCATAGTGTCATATTGTCACTGAAAAATTGTACGAAATATGATAAAAATTGTACTGGTTGGCGCTCTGTGATTTGCAAATCAGAGGTAAGCAATCATAGGAAGGAGTAACTTCCATAAAACAACAAGATGGGGTGCAACTGGACTTGAGTAACCATGGAAATGGCAGGAAAGTTTAACGTACCCCTTCATCGTCACTTCCTCGCCTGTATTGCGTATCATCTGCAGCCTCATCATCGTCATCCCCGACCAGGTCTGGGTTGAAGGCAAACAGCTCACGACCCGTGATCTGAAACCCCCAAATTAAATTTGTTTTATTCATTTAGGCCTAGTCTTGCTTTACTACAACTTTCTCATATCTCTCCAATTCCAGCACATGGTTTTGAGGGATGGGCTTTCTGAGATTGAAAAAGACACTGCTAAACCCATTTTACTTCACGTCATTAAAAGCCTGTTTCACTCCATTCCATAATGATACAGGAATTTTGGAGAATTCTAGGAAATTCCTTCAACAAATACCTAGGGAGTTGGGGTTCAGTTACTTTCCCAAACCCACGTGACAACTTGATGAACTTACGAGATGACCAGACAGAAATCCAGATTCATGTCTTACAATATACAGTCAGAATTCGGCAAACAAATGACTTAACCCTGCCTCTCCCAGGGGCTCCAAAATCCATCAAGATTTTTTAATGGATTCTGCGGGATTGTGGAAGGCAGAATCCAGGCCGTATTACATCGGATGGAACTTGTTCATTGAAAGATACAAATATGGAGCATTTGCAAATGGTTTCCTACACAATACTGGATTTTGCAAGATTCAGGGAGTCTCTTAAAAAAATTGCCAGGGGAGTTAAAATTACCATATTACAAGACTGGCAAACTGATAAATACCGACTCACT